AGTGATCCTCACGAGAAGGCGTTTTATGATAGGCATAGAGAAAGTATCTTGAAAGGAGGTATGTGTTGGTTTCAGTTTCTATTCTCGAACAATCGTAAATCCACACTTCAGGTTTTGATGGTGAATACAAGCAAGATTCTCTAGATTTATTCCAATTTTTCACTACTAGTTGTTACAAAGGATTTGATGGTGAAAAGGCACGTCTTCTCGTAAAATTTATAAGATTTTCATGATTTTCACCTTTTCAGAGCTTTTATAGTGTGTATAGGAATGTATTTGATAGCTTAGCTAATGAAGACTATGATTTTGTGGATGATCCAGCCGTGCGTTATCCTACATTTGGTGATGCTTCAAGCGACTTTGACACGGTTGGTCTTTGTTTGCTTCCTTCACTTTCTCTTGTACTCTAGGTAATTTCAGGTGGTTGGACCTTTCTATGGATTCTGGAGTTCATTTTGTACGGCGCGGTCTTTTGCTTGGTTAGATAAATATGACATACGTCAAGCCAATAACCGATACGAGTTACGTCAAATAGAAGCCGAAAATAAGAAATATCGAGATGCTGGTAAAGCTGAACGCAATGAGCAAATCAGAGTGAGTGTAAATCTTCCTTTTTTCTTTTCTGTGCAATATTTGATGTTATTTCACTTCAACATTTACTCGCTATGTATATTTTTTCGCTGGAAAGTTTGCAGGAGCTAGTTGCTTTTGTGCGAAAGCGAGATCCTCGGGTTAAAGCATATCGCGAGCTTTTGGAAAAGCGTCAGGAGGAAGCCAAAAGGAAACAAGAAGAGAATCGAAAACAACAAATTTTGAAGAATCAGCAGTAGGTTGACTTGCCATTTCTCATTGCTGCTTTTTTTTGTTTATAATATGTGTCTCAGACTCATTTCCGCATACCATGAGAATGAGCATGCACAAGCCGCTCATCGTGCTCATCTGGAGCAGCTCACTCAGCAGCTTGCCGAAGAAGAAACGGCTAGTGAAGATGAAGACGAGGATGGAGAAGCTTTGCCTT